GTAATTTAAAGCTTTTGCATACGGGCTATCGTGTATCGGGCCATGGTTCGGTTCCATAAGTCATCACTGGCAACACGCACTGGTTAAAAGCCTTCATCTTTAAATTCTGAGGTATTTTTCATGAGAAAGTGTAGCATGATTTTTGGAAAGCTGCTCAGCCGAGTTGGATTTATCGGTTGACGTCTCGGTCGAAATTGGATTTACCGAGTCTAATAAGTTGTCCAAGGTATACATACTCATCGACAACTTCAAGCGTAGTGTTCTCAGCCGTAACCGGTATAGGCGTGACATGGACGTTATACATGATTTTAGTCTTGCCCTTGTTCATTCTAAGGCCGGTAGGATATTGAGAAGCATTGAGACGTCATTGAGCATAGTATTTAAGTTCTCCAGGGATTCTGTCATTATTACTATATCATCGACAAATCGAATACGAGTGATGTAATCGCATTTGATGTTTATACCATATCTTTTCTTGTCCAGCAGTTTGAAAACCTCTTCCAATGCAACTGCTCGTTTCGGGGAGTTCCTTTCGAAAAGAGTTTCGGGGATATGGCGTAACGTTGTCCTATACTTTTCTGCACTGGGATGGGTAAGCTGGTTCTGTACTCGGATAGACGTCGTAGTCTTACTGTACATACGCTTTAGCACTTCGAAATATCTAAAGTTAATCTGGAACCGCTGGAGGGACTGTAATACCGCCTATGTCTTGATCGAATCAAATGCTTTCTCATAGCCTACAAACGCTAGACGTAGTATCAGATTATACTCTTACATTTTCTGTATAATCGGCCGTAGCGTATGTCTATGGTACTAAAGCTCTTTTAGAAAACAGTTTATTCGGCTAGATGGAAGTCTTGTTTGTGCTACATAGATTGTTTAATGATAAGACTGACTATATTACACCTTTTTAAACTCCATCAAAGATTCATGCAATATTGGTGAAATAAGGTTTTTGATATTTTTTTTTTATTTGCAAATACATATAATGCGAAAATTTTGTTTTGGAAGGTCAGTTATTTATTCTTTTTATTTTATTTCTGGTGAAAAATGAACTTGTTTGCTATTGTAAATTCTCATTATTTGATATTTTTCACATAATACATATGTATATTGCTTACTACTGCCACTTTCTCTCATGTGTACCAGTATCTTCTTATCGACAGTAATAGAAACATAAATTGATTTATTTAAATTATATTTCTAAAATATGTTTATAGAAGGATGACATTATGTTATAAACTTGTCGTGTTCTATAAGATTATAGATGGTCTGCTGTCAAAAACATGATGTAATTTTAGTAGAAATCTTGATAAATATATACCTAATTTTAATATTATATTTTCGTAATAAAAATTAGAAAAATGTAAGAATTACTATTTTAATTAAAAAAAAACCTTTACATACACCACAATATTAATAACCATGGATAAGATTAAGCAAACACCTACAATGTTAATTGAATACGGTATTGGGATTGGTGCTATACAAGCATTAGATTTAACTGATTCGTACATACATACATATCTGTCACGCCTGTCTCCCATTAGAGTAGGCAGAAACAATGGAACGCCAAAGGCTTCGATTCAAACAAACCTCTTTCGCTTCTTCCACATTCATCAATCTTTTCATACACGCTCGCCGGTTACGGGTATTTTTAATTTGGCCCTTCTTCAGCACGTCGCCTATTTGGTCAACATACGTCCGTCTTTAACCGATTCATGTTTTAGATTATAGAAAATTAAGGATTTGCATTTGCATATCCTTCATAGGATCGCTATTTGACATTTTCTTATCTTATTGGTTTGCTATAGTGCATATATGAATAACATTTTTTGCTATTATTTGTTTATATATGGTTTATAGATCATTTATATCTGAGATCACTATTGAACAGTTGTGATGCATTTATGATTCAAGATATAAACACATTATTTCCTTGTTATAGAGAGTTTATAATGGAATGATTTTTTTTTATGGATGCGACGGCTACCAATTTTGGCTTTGTGTTTACAGTCAGTCAGGATCAGGACAAACGATTTTATAAATATAAATATTTATTTATTTATTTGTTTATTTAACTTTTTATTGCACCATAAATAAAAATATACAATGACAAGTGAATAATTCAAATGAAATACAGTAACATAAATGCAGATTGAAATATACACATAAAGGTACAAAAGGCGGTCTTATCGCTAGAGCAATCTCTTACAGACAACCTTTAGTTAAAGGAAAACAGATAGAAAAGGGCAGGTGGCGCAAGAGTGAATTAATAATTTTCGTGCATAAAATACAAAAACATGTAATGCACAAAAATATCAAATACATATAATTTATTAAACTACTTACTATAACAATATATATACATACACACACACACACACACATGTATACTGTTTAATGTAGTATATATTTTATGTGTGGAGAGGATGAATAGTCACTGTATCACTGTTTACTGTATACTGTATTACTGTTTTTTTTATGGATTTACTGATTAGGTCTTATCTAAGTAGGTTTTAAATCTAAGAAGTGTCTGCATTGATATAGTTTATATGCTATATCAAATATACTGATCATAAATTCAAATCTGTCATCAGTTTACATAATCTTCGTAGATAGGTAAATTCATCACTTAAACCATTGATTTGTACACATAGGCCTGTAAAATAGATAAAAAATTTTTTTTAATACATTTTTATTTTTACATTATGCTGAGTTTCGTAAAATAACAATTAGGATATATAATAAAAACAACGCTAAATTTCTACGAAAAAAAAATTGCGCGAATAAATTCTATCGATTGTTCAATGACGAAGGGGCGAAATTATAGCGTAGGTTACACAAGTCTAAATGAGAAACTTCGTTTCTTTTTTTTTTAAATCGCTTAACATTCCTTTAACAGGTCACGCAATGATTTAGTTTAATTGACAGTCATTTTCTAGGATATAGATCACAGATAGTATTAATATATGTACCTACTTTGGGAAGGGGATTGTTAGTAGAGAAAACCGACGACCGCAGTGCTAGGAATATACCCTATTAGATCGATTTCTACGCGGTCTTTCTAGGAAATTACTTTAATTTCTGGTGGCTTTGTCATTACAGACTTACTGACTCAACTTAAATCATGACCTAAACAGCTAAAAAAAATTATCAACTCAGCTATCTGAAAATGAAAAAGATTTCAGAATAGATAAAAATGTATACACATATTTCATTATCGTCATTTTTTTTCTGTTGTATGTGTGCTGTTAAGTATGTGTATGTTATGTATATATTTAATTGTGTATTATATTATATATGTATGTGTATGTATAATATTTATATAATAGTGCGCCACCTACCCTTTGTCTTTTTCTCAATGTCCTCTACCCAAAGGTTTTCTGGAAGAGATTGCTTAGCGATAAGGCCGCCTTTTGTATCACTTCTCATTAATATTTATTGTATTTGTTATTTCTCTTTTTACTTGGTGCAATAAAGTGTAAATAAATAAATAAAAAACATTTGTAAGATTATCTCTACGTTACTGTTGTCGTTGTGTTGTGTAATCACAACTGTTATATTATGACAGCTGTGATTACATGTTGTAATAATTTGTAATTATATATAGAAGTACATAATACGTTATTATCTATTTTAAATTAATGTACCATATAAATCGTCGCTATCATTGAATAAAATACATTATATCATCATCATCATTTTAGTCATTATCCGTCTGTTGCTGGACATAGGCCTATCTCATAGACTGCCATAATGAACAGCCCTGAGTCCACTAAGTCCAGCTTTAAAATTAATTTCCAAAAATTCTTAATTGAGAGGCAAAAGTTAGACATTCCTGCAAGTTACCTCCATGTCCCATTTGTCAGCTAGTGAGCTGTCATATCTGTCTGTTTACTGTATATTAATCTTTTTTTTTATTGTACGGATAATCTGGTAGTATTATTTTATTGTTACCTATTCCCTTTGGCCGCAACAGAATATCAGTGCTTTGCTCTTTTGAGGCCGAAGCAATAAACTGAGTTGTGGCCATTTTGTATTGCTATGCCACACTCACAAACGAAAGTTGCATTTGGTTTTATGTATTTTTTTGCCATTTATGTTATCTCGCTTTTTTTTGTGTATGTATGTTGTAATTTGTGTGCTGTAAGTAATGCAAATAAAATTATCTATCTATCTACCCTGAGTCACCTGCATCCGTCCACTGCTGGACGTAGGTCTTCCTCATAGACAGCCATAAGGAACGGTCCTGAGCTACCTGCATTCACTGACTCCATGCACTGACACAATTCATTTGAGGCCCTTACTCCATTTAGTGAGGGAAGGGGAGGGGGGTCGACCTACACTGCGTTTGCCCGTAAGGGGTCGCCACTTAAGAACTTTTCTCCATCGGTTATCGGTTCTTCGAGCTATGTGACCAGCCCATTGTCACATCAGCTTGCTTATCCCTTGGTCTATGTCGGTTCTTTTACAGATATCCTCGTTTCGGATTCTATCACGCATAGATGTTACTCGTATTCATTTTTGTATATATGTTATCTACTCGGTACATAATAATTTATTGGCCGAAGTCGCTCTGCTAAGCTACTCTTATCATTAAGGCATCAATAGAAACAAATTGTCTTCTAAATAGGTTCAATCAATGATGGTATATTAACAAAAATACAATAATACTAGTTTTTACTCGCGACTTTGTCCGATTCACTGGGATATGTTGATTGACTGGGGTAACTAATAACCTATATCCTTTTCCATTTCATATAGTATTAGTATTATTTAGAACTAAGTCCGTCATTCCTTTCTCTTGTGGGCGCTGCAGACCTAAAGGAAGCGGTAAGAGACCCAGAAAAAATTGATTAATTTACACAATAATCGATTAATTTAATTTGAAGTTATAGTGGTTTTTAAGTAGGTGAAAAAAATAGGGGCGTTAAAAAAAAATTATTCTCAAAGCGGGCAGTAGACAAAATAAGTTTGGGAACCCCTGGTTTAAGTACATGTATAACCAAGATTCGGCTTGGCTATTTTTGTTTATTAAATGATTGTAATAATCTAATTATTCTTCTAGAAATAAAAAAAAAATAGTATTTAGAAACCTAACAGGTTTTCTTGAATTGAGAAGCGACTATGTATTCTAACGACACTGAATTAAAAGATTTCAAATAAACGTTAATTGTTAATTTTTAGTCATAATGAACTATATTTAACGTTTATTTTGCTGTAATGTTAATACGTACTATATTGATTAAAATGACATGATTGTAAGATAATCGGGTAAATCGGGCGCCGCCGGCGTCGTTGCCGGAGACATACAATGGAGGCGGTGGCGCCCGCGCCGAAGGTCGTCTTATTGCGTCTAATTTCATTCTTTCCACGCATTGTCGTAATCACTGTAGCTGTCGAATAAAGTTATATGACTACATACCAGAACTGCACAATATGACTACATAACAGTATTAAATATATTTTTTATTCTATCTATTCGGAATACGATATGTTTTGTTTATAAATAATTGCGAGTAAAAAAAGTGTTTTTTCTCCAACTTCAGTTCATCCCATTGATCACTGATGTTACCTGGTAATAATACTACTATGTTATTTGTTATTTATACACTTTTTAACAGGTACTAATATCTTATTTTACTTACGGTTCGATAAACTTATCTTCTTACTAATGTAATAAAATTGTAACGGGGCGATGTCTGTACATGGAAGATATTTAAGAATAATTGATATTGGTGTGATAACCGATGGGGAAGAAAGGTTCTTCAGTGGCGACTCCGTACGGGCAAATTCAGGTCTTCAGTCCATCCTACAGGTGTAAGATGGACTGACGACCTGAAATGCATTGCAGGGAGTCAGTGGATGCAGGTGGCTCAGGACCGTTCCTTATGGCAGTTTATGGGGTAGGCTTATGTCCAACAGTGGTTAGATAATTGCTGAAATGATGATGATGCATGATGACATTATTGTAATACTTATATACATGTTTCTCTTAAGAAATCTGTATGTTTGTTCCTTATTGTGCCACGGAAATACTACTACACCAAATTGAATACGGTTTTCATAGCTGTGTTCATGAAAATACATATAATTTAAAAACCGGTGTTTGTTTAAGTGCTTACCTATGTACCCCCAAAGTTTACGCGTACGAAGTTGCGGACAAACCTAATTAAGCATATATTTTAGTTGTTATTTTTTACTTTTCCATGAGGTAGAAACTCAGTTTCTTTTTCATATCCTATGTTGTACAAAAAAATAACTTAATTTGAAGAGAAATTGCAATTCTCTGTGTGTTCTACATGTGTAGAAGGGACTGTCATTCTTAATCGCATAAATGCTGAAACTATGGAATGAGCTATGCTTTGACCCAGTTTGACGTTTTGTTATATAAAGGTTGGATTGGATCTAATTTTGAAATTACATTATTACATTATCTTTGGGTAGAAGGAATTTTAAAGTTGAGTTGAACGCACTAGATTAATGTATTTTTTTAGTCTTTGTGGTAAATGTACAAAACAGTGATAACATTTTGACCATAGTACCTACATAGATACGAATACAAGGAAGTAAATCAGGACTTGTTATTTAGAAAATCAGGACTTGTTAGTTATTTGCTTGTCCTTATCGGTTTGCGTCGGAGCAAAGTTCACTGCTCGTCTATGTTTATCAACACAATAATAGAACTGTAACAGGTCGCGTCTGTATCAGTATGAAAATATATTTGTAGAATAAAAAATAGGATACAACAAAATATGGCGGTATATTTATAAGGAAGTTTAATACAATACTGTTTGTACCTAAGTGTACTCTAAGATGTATATATGTATATATTTACATCATAACTGTTTCTTATGATGGTAGATAGTAGAAAGCAATGGAACGCTAAATGTTTCGATTCATATAGACCTTCAACAATATCTTCGTCCAGCACTCTAGTTACAAGTAGGTACTGCTAATTAGATATATTTATATATATATATATCTTAGCCAATTGTGAATCGTTTTAAATTATTATATTTTTACATAATTATTGTTACTACTCATTATTTGGAATCTCCCCAGTTCTCTGAATTATCATATTTGTAATATTGGTAGGGAAACTAAAGTGGTTGAGTAAAAGAAAATCTTGCAAAAAAAGTATTATTTCCCCTTATCTTCTACGGCAAAGCATACGGCTTATTTTCTTAAAACGACGACAAGTACATTTTGCTCCGTAAATAAAAAAAAAAATTACTGTCCTGCCAAAAATGATATATTTTCAAAAATAATATTATATTGTATCCAGTGTCACTCGGTCACTCAAATGTATTCAGGAAATAGTGGAATAAAGACATTCAAATACTCGTACATATTTATATATAAATATTATTCTCGTGTAGAAATAGATTACTATTATTGAAACCTCTGTTTCGGTGTTTCTCCATATTCAATATTTAAAGAACGTGTCTGTCGTTAGAAGTGGTAACTCGTTTAAATCACGAGACATTGTGTGTCACTTGTCAACTTTAACTGCTTGTAAAGATTTCGAATTTTACAGCTTCTTGTTACTAGATGTATCTTAATTGAATATTGGAGTTTGTAATAATTTTAAAAACGCCTATGTTCTATTCCATAATTTTGAAAATTAATCTATTTTTACAATTATTACAAATTCAATATATTATTTTGTACTATTGGACAAAAAGTAATAACCTGTTCTTTTATTTCAGCTTTGGTGGGTCCGTTGGCGATGGGAACTATGTTTCTGCTGTCTCCGCTTTCGGGAGTTTTAACTGCACTTATGGGACTTCGGATGACAGCGGTACTCGGTGGAACTATAGCAACTGTAGGCTTGCTTATATCATCCTTCGTTGTGAACAATGTCAATGCTCTCTATTTTACCTATGGAATAATGTATGGCTTAGGAGCATCCTTCGCTTATACTCCCTCTCTCGCCATTCTTGGACATTATTTTAAAAAGTATTTAGGTCTAGTAAATGGTATAGTTACTGTTGGTAGTTCCATATTTACAGTTTTTATGGCATCTCTCATGGAGTATTTGATAAATAACTATGGTTTATTATGGCTTTTCAGAATATTAGCTGTCTTTACTTTTGGTATAGCACTTTGTGGATTATTATTTAATCCTATTTCTGTAATTATTCCCGAAAAACCAATAAAAACAGATGATTCCTATAAGACGCTAGTAAAATCGATATTAAATGTAGATATTTGGAAAAATAAACGATATACGTTATGGGCACTATCAATGCCTCTTTCCTTGTTCGGATATCTAGTACCGTATGTTCATATCAAGGCCCTTATGAAAAATCATTTTCCTGATGCAGATCATAATTTACCACTGCAATGTATAGCAGCGATGTCTGGTGTTGGGAGAATAATTGTTGGTTATCTTGCTGACAAAAAAGGAGTAGATAGTATTACGTTGCAACAAATTTCATTTTATGTCATCGGTACCCTCACTATCATTCTGCCGTTTGTAACTAATTTTGGTCTATTGGTAACTATTGCCTTTGGTATGGGTTTATGTGATGGCACATTTATTGCATTAATTGGACCAATAGCGTTTGAATTGTGTGGCAATGTGTATGCTGCACAAGCGATTGGCTGTATGTTGGGACTTTCTGCATTTCCAATGTCTGTAGGGCCCCCGGTAGCGGGTTATCTTTATAGCATTTACAATTCTTATAAGTTACCTTTCATCCTTGCTGGCATTTCTCCTTTAATGGGAGCAAGTCTTATGTTCGCAATTCGATTTCATAAAAACAAACAAAATTCTGAAGCCACTACAAACGGACATTTAGGACTGGTCCGAAGGGATTTTGGTAAGTGTACCTATAAGTACTTGCGTTTAATATTCCTATGATTTAGATTATTTATTTATATAATTCTTTTTATTAATTTCAGAAAAGGATCCAGAGGCTTAATAAAATTTATTTATTATTATTAGTAAGGATTTTAATGTGAATAATTTGTGACATAATAATCGAGTAGATATACAAATTATGTGATATATTTTGACATCCATTGAGAGTGCCTAAGGAATTAATTGAGTATAGAGTGGAAATTGTTTGCTAAAAATTTGCCTATTGGCGGTATGGGCTGTGGTATATGGTAAGTGAAGGTAATTAAATGATCGTTTGGTTCTGACTTTTTTAATTGAAAAAATAAAATGCAATTGTAATAAAATTAAATGCCAAGTATTTATGTCATCTGGTACAACGAAAACTTAAATTTGGAAATCATTCAGTTTTAAATTGTGTACCTATAGATCTCAATTGTAAATGTAGCATTTTTGTTGTTTTCATTTGTTACTTTTAACTTGCGCGGTTTTATATTATCTATATGTGGATTTGAATCAACACGAATATAAATAAAAGGAATAACTAAATACTATTTAGTGCACTCTGTGTCTTGGCTGTATGGTCGTGGTGTTTAGAAAAAGCTGAAAGACTACGTATTGTAGCCATGACTAGTATATATAGATAAACTATTATTAATTACTACTATAATCAAATCCCACAGGCTTTTTCAGCACAGCATTTTCGTTTCCAATAATCCTAATTATTGAAAAAGGTATAAATTGTACCTGTTATTTAATTGCGAGATTTATATATTTCTGTATAATAATAATTGATATTAAAAGAAATATAATTATAAAATCCTATACAATTTGTTATGTTAAATGTTAATTTAAACGCATAATAATATTTTTGTACGCATATTTTATCAATTCTGAGCCAATTTTTCTGATTCTTTTTTTATTGAAAAAAGTAATTCATTATTTACTTCTGTAGTAGTAACAATTTTGACAAGATTAAAGTAGGGATTTTGATCGAAATATGAAATTATTAATATTATATATTAAAACATATTTTATGTTATTTTTTGTACATTATTTAAGGCCGATTTTTCAATATTTTATTAAGGTGAAGAGTACTTATTGAAATATATAACCATATGTATATTCATAGACTCACAAGCACGCCTTTATTTTTATACAAGTACAACGTTTAATTCATCATAATATTTAACTACCGTAATGAAATTGAAAGAGAGAAATTTATACAGAATAATAACATAATATATAAATTATAAAGTAAATGCTCATTCTATATTATATTAACTAAACTTGTTATAACATTTTGTTGTTCGTTGTACAGGCTGATTTATAAATAAAGAGTCAATGTAAAACTTATTTGTAAATAAAATATCTTAAAATCCTGTTGTTATGTTTACCATACAAAGTTCCTAATGTGACATTTACGTTTATAGATAGTTAATAATTACTTATTATTTAATTATTTTAAATAATTACAATAATTATTTTAAGTAATAGTTCATTGTCCTAATAATATTTTTGATAAAATTTATTGACAATAAATATTTACGCTATAAAATTATGTGTATAATTGTAATATGTAAACGAAACAATATTAAAGTGCATAAGTTTATATAGAATCTCATCTCATTATGCTAATAGAGACAATATTTGTTTATATTTATTTTTCGATAACGTAACTCGAATAAATTTTATATATTTTGTTTCACATAAAAATATAAATATAAAGCAACCAAAAAAAAATACATGTCGAATTACTTAGAGGTACTTATCCCTTTGAGAGAGCTGATTACTTTTTTTTATTTTTTTATTGTAGTTAGATTTCAAATACAATTTAAGTACCTATCTATGAATTTATAGTATGGATTTAGTGCAATTATTAAGTTGTTAATATGAAACATATCACGTAGTTTGAATCGATGAAATATTATTATGGTAGATACTTTTGTTATCGCTAGATAAGTATACTCAATTGTGAATAATAATGACCTAATTATACCTACTTGAAGCACATGGTGTAGCTTACAGTGGATATAATACAGCTCTGACGTTATTGAAACTGCCTTAGTAATAAGATTATGATTTTGTAATATATATATAGGTATGCAGCTTTTATTTTATTATTGTATTGAGAGGATTATATATTTTTGTATGCTATTTGCTGACGTGGAAAATGCTGGTTAATAAACTAAATGCCTCAACCGAAGTATATGCTAGAACCATAAGAATAAATAATCTGGGACAAAACTTAAGTTATACAATAAATATACGTGTAACGGGAATTTTATTAACTAACTATAATTATCGTACAATTGTTTCGATAATAATTATTAATATCTTAAAAAAAAAGAACAGAAGTTTTAACAATAATAAATATTTTTGTAAAATTTATCAAATTCATCTACTACAGTACGCCCTATTTTAAAAGTTGAGGAACTACAATAAAATTATACACAAAATCCGACAAAATAGAACCTAAAATGTTAATGGATTTATTGCCACCTTAATAAATAATTTCATCCATATTTTTTTTTTTATTAAAAAAAACATCCTGTATGTATTCGTATAAAAAATATAAAAATATATCTTAGTTTTGAAACTTATTTAGTAAACAATTGGGTGTGACTGTCTCAAAAAACATGGCTATTATAATTTTATTTTGTTAAGTTTTTATAACATTCTAAAAGTTTATGCCTTTCATATTTATTTTAGAATGTATTTATGTAGCTAATAAAACTTCCACAATTTATGACGAATCTAATAACAATTATTAAAATTTATCAAGCCATTACGGCTATGTGTTGTTACAAATACAGACAGTGTTATTACGTATACTAAAATTGTAACGAAGCCAAAACTGTACCATTTATAGAAATAGAGTTAGGGATATGTAGTACACGCGATACTGAACTGAAAACGACGGGGTTTGAAGTTTGTCAGTCTATTTGTAGGTGTAATTGATTGTGATTAATTTTTCAGAGTATATATATTAAGGTCAACATATGAACTATAAAAAATTTAAAATGTTACTTTTCAAAGGAACTAAATTGTTAAATTATTATTAATAGTAATTAGGGTAAATCGTTAGACTGGTATAAAAATCCTATATCCTACTCTATCCCAAATAGATAAATATAGTAACATTAGTATTGATTGAGTTGTTAAGGTATTACGAGGTTATAAACTAACTCACTTTCACATTTACAATGTTAATAAAAATGTAAAAAACTACATGCGAACACAGCTAGTACATACAAAACTAAAATAACATTATTGTCGTTTCATTGGTGGTCAAGTAAAAAGTGCAACCCTTTTTTGTATCTATGAATTGTCATACTAGCAAAAAATTTTAACATATGATGCATTACAGATGCAGATTATTTCATTTAAAACATGTTAATTGTTTCTACTAACTACTCGTTATTCCGATATGGGTTTCATGTTTTTATCTTTTATATTTGAAGATTAAATATATTTAAATTTTTAGAATTTTTATATTTTGTTATTAAATTTATATCAAAATATTATAACGCCGTATTAAGATTCGGAACTGTATTTAATTTTGAATTCTGTGTAATATTGAAAAAAAAATTTACATACAACATCATTCAAATAAAGTACAGTATATGATGTATTCAACGAATTGGTAGGTACTTGTCAATTAAGTAAATAGTTTACATTATATTTTTGCAACTAATCTAAAAAACGTACGTAGTAAGAAATTGTATTACTCATCGTGAGTAGTAGATATAGCTAGCTATTGAATGCATTTCTTCCACAAATTATGAAAATATTTCTGTATTATTTTAATTGTAAGATCGTTATTAAACACTTTATGTGACATTAATACCTTTTATTTATATCAAAACGCTTAATATAGAATTATACTGACTCAGGTAGGTTTATGTTTTTGTCGGTGGGTAGTAATACCTATTTAAAAAATTTGCAATATTATATTTTTCTATATCTTTGTAGTTGTAGGTACATATAGTTTGGATATTTCAATTCATTTTTACTATCAATAGTGCGACTATTAACTTTAAAGTATGTAATGAAGGTAATGTTTATATTATTTGTTATAATTACTTATTACGAGTCATTTGTTATATACGACGGGTCATTATGGTGTCTTTAAATCTATTTTGACTTCATAGGCAAAAGGGTTTAAAAAAGACTTATCTGTATTTTGTTATATTACTGTATTTGTAGTATTATCTGTATATTATTACCACTCGAATAATTAACACGAACAAAACAGTGTTATTGACCATTAGTAATTCAAATAAAAGTAATTTATTACTTGATTCGATACTTAAAAAAATAATTCTTAAAAAATTGACTACCTTTACGTTAGGTTTTTTTAAAACAGATTATATTTTATCATCACTCCTTTTCAAATTAGGAACATGTTGTGCCTCGACGGAAAATACGATTAAAATTATAAATCAAAACCGGCCATATTCTTGTGAAGCCAATTCGTTGCGCCGGGATTCTTTCTTCTGAATAGCCTTGTGATAAACCGTGTCCAGTGCTCCCGAATGAGTAAACTCTTATTTCCACTTCCTCATTAGTTGGCGAGTTATTTCTCTGTGATGCCCAGCGAAGTGGCTTCGATAATCTGAAGTTGTATAAAGGAATATTATGGATTTCGATACAAAAATTTTGAAGAAATTGATGTTTTGAAGGTATATGTGCGTTATGGTTAATATTGTAATTTGAGTAGAAAATATCACACAGCGCTAATTCAGGAGAGCTTTACTATGCGTATCTATTACATAACGTACCTATATTTTATTATAAATATATAGTTACATTACGTAATAGAATACGTTAAGTCAGACCAATATGATACGAACCTATTTAAATTGTGAGCATTAAAGTGCCAACCGTGGCGACACCGGTGGGTGAGGTAGCCTAATAAGTAATCCTATTCGGAATATTCAGGTATATAAACCGATACATTACCAAGATTGATTGGTACCTATACCATAAGAATGTGTTATTATTATGTTTATAACGTGGAGTAATTACAAATACTTTCTATCTATTCCGTGCCCTTTACTGTATGTAAGTATGTATACATTATTTTTAATGTACAAAAATATAATTGTGCACAATGAGAATGAAAGCAAATCAGGTAGCCCGTCGTGGTAAACTCGCTACAAATTAATCATGATAGTTTCCTGGGCCCCCCTGCGTCTAGAATATATCCTTAGCAATGGGGACTAACATCCCCGTTTCTAACAATGCCTCCCCCCACATAAGTATATTAAAGTATATGGGCAATTTAAAGATACACTACATGTTGTTTTTATATTTATTTTATATAGGTACATATTTTTGTTTCTCGACTTAACATGGTGGGGATATATTTAGTTTTTATTATCATGTTTTCTGTATATATTTTCGTATTGATTGGACCTCATAAAAAGTGCTTATATCCTCTGTATCTACTGCATGTAGGTATGCCAAATCTAATTATACATAATTCGTGATGAAGTACATATGTCTCGTAATATTAGTTGATGAAATAAGAGAAGAAATCAAATCTGGAATTTAGATCTCTCTGTCAATCCAATAACTAAAGGGAAAATTATTATTATATTTCTCTTAAATTTAGGAAAGTATTAAGAAAATTTCATCACATTGAAGGTTAGATATATTGTTAAAGAGACGCAAAAAATATCAAACATTTGGCGACCTTATCACTCCATCAAGGCCAGGTTGAAGGAAGTTTTACTAACATTCGATTACTTAGTTTAATTGAGGTCATTCGAACAAAAGTAAACTCTGATAACTCCTATCTATTTAGGCAACGTTGGTAACATAAAGTATATAGTAGCTTATAAGGACGAATCGTTTAGATTCCTTTACCTTTTTTAAGTATTTATATTTGAGAGATATCATAAAAGAAGGTTTTCAATTCAAAGGTATTTTTTTACGATATATTCACGACGTTTTAATTTATTTATACTTTATTGCATACAAAGATTACATTGTTATAATTTATTTTTAACAAAGATGTACAACAAGGAAGCTTAACTGTAAGAGTTATCTTCTATTAAATCCAGAGTGGGAAGGAGCATTAATTACTAGCGGGTAGTGTGTGTACAATTAAGAAGAAACAGTATGGTTGTGGTGTTTCTATTAAGAAATTATGCTTATTTGTACACATACTATCTAATAATATTCAAATATATTTACATTCAAAGTACATAAATATCAGTATACAAAATAAATATATATACATAGACGTTTACGAGAACAGAAGACGCTATAATGAAGATGCAGATATAATCTGGGCACATAAACCGTGAATGATTCACTATAGCGTGAGGAAATATGGGGAGGTATTTTAAGAATGAGGCATTTAATTTTTCCACAGGACTTGCCAGTGGGAACAAGGATATTGAAACGCTCACAAAGATAATATGGGAAAGAGGGATTATACAGTACAGAATTATACAGAACAAAATTAACACATGAAAGTTGCGGCATTGATTGACAAACCGGGAGCCATTTTAATTTGGTGTTAGGTATAAGTTGAAACATCATAAGTACTTGAAGAGAATAAAACGAATTCACAAATTTTGTAGCCGTTCCAATTTATGTTTCATTTTATTATTAATTATACTTATAATGTAGTGTGTTTCATTAATATTAAATCACTTACTCTGAGAAATAATCCATGTCTTCCAGAACATCCGGCAGTTCTCTGCCATCTACATCAAGAAATATGAAGCGCAAAGACGCCAGAGTCAATGTGACTGCTACCTCTATAGCCACGATAGTGGCATCATTAATTGGTTGAAACACGATTAATAAGTAACTAATCATAGCTCCCAGTTGACCGGCAGCGAGATAGTTAGTTAGTGATAGCAAGATAGTTGCTCGTATTTTAGTGGCAAAATACCGGGGTGTAATGTTAAGGATCAATGCATGCCCAACAAGACGGAATGCTAATGCAATTGAAGAAAGGAAATTGCGTAATATTTTCTGAAAATAAATAATGCATATAAGAATAAGTATTTACGTCGATTTAAATTTATCCCAATCTTACGACTACAAATTATTAAACTAACAATAACGTCAGATATTATAGGTTTTGAAATGTACAAAAAGAAATCGGGAATAGATAAAAGAAAGATTATAGTATTGTTTTTACAATTAATATGATTGTGCATAATAACAAAATGCTTGCAATCACATTTTACTAATTCTCTTTTAATACAACTAAATTATAATTTAAACTCATATTTAGAAGAATAATTACATAGTTGTAACGCCTATTTAAAAAGTCAAGGCACAGAGTTGATTCAAGGTAATATTACATTATAGGCTCAATGTAACATATTTTATTCTTTTATTAAAGCTCGTGAAATGAGTTAATTAAAAAAAAAAAAACACTGTAATTGAAAGAATAAAGAAAACGAACTTGATCAACAAATAAATCTCCTGTAGTGAAAGCGCCTGTCAATAAAATAACTATCAGAGGCAATTGTCTTAGTTTCAGTTTTTTTTAAGTATTATTATTAAACATCCAAGTACGCTGACAAAAGAAAGAACCGTGAGTAACGTAATATTTGAAAATTCTTTGCTATATATTCGTGTATATAAACAACTCCATTGAAAATAATATAAACACCAAAATAATAATGACACTAAAACTGTCATTCTGATGTTATACGTGGATAGTACTCCCACGCATGTTGTGGTATCGTCCAAACTGTGGTAAGCCTAAAATAAATAAGTAAGAAATAAAAACAGTTTACATGTCATAAATAGTTATACATAATAAGTGTACGTATATATATATATATATATATATATATAATTATAAAATCTTTTGTCTTGTTTGGAATATTCGTTTGTTTTATAACGTAAGCATCAGTTAAAAAAAATATTTTTAGGAAAATTTAAATCTAAAAAGAAAACATGATATCACATGTATAAAGCTGCGAATAACAGCTAAGTATATTACATACTAGCTAACTCGGTAAAGATTGTTTTGCCACCTGATGGCATCTTACGGCTCTATTATCATAAAAATCTATTAGCATAAAAAACTATTCTATTTCAAGTTAGAGCACACAGTTACGAAATTACAATAAAATCGGTCCAGTGGTTTCGGAGATTAGTGTGAACAAACATTATGAAATAATATGTAAAAATAAGTTAAAATGAGTAAAATGGGTAGGTTACCCATGACATAGAACATATTATGAAATTTTGTGAATCAAAAATGACAAAATTTGAAAGACCCGTACTATATCAACTGCTGAATACGCTGTGTTGCGTTAGTAGAGAAAACTCAACATTTTTTGGCTTTATCGGCTCATGTTTTTTTGGTGAAAAAGTTCAGTTTCGTTAAAGTTAATTTTACCCTGCATAAATATACCTATACCTAAAGGAAAATTTGGGTTAAGAATGTGTTAAAATACTAGATTTAAATTAAATTTACTAAATAAATAGATATCGTTACTTCATGCCGGATCAGCGATTAATGCTCTACAAATCGCAAATCCGGCCCCACATGGAGTATTGCTGTCACTTATGGGTGGGAGCACCTAGATACCAGCTTGAACCCTTCGACGCAGTGTAATGACGAGCTATGAGAATTGTCGATGATCCCACGCTTGCAAGCGGTATCAAACCCGTAAGTCTTAGGAGAGATTTTGGCTCACTCTGTGTATTCTACCGCTTGTACAACCGATTGTGCTTAGAGGAATTATTTAATATGATGCCTATGGCCACTTTCTATCATCGTACGGCTCGCCATCGACAGAGTGTTCACCCTTATACCCTACAGCCTAAATGGTCGCGTACAACGCGGTTTGAGAGATCTTTTCTCCCACGAACACTCAGGTTATGGAATGAGCTCCCTGCCGAGGTTTTCCCATGGGGTTGTTCAAAAGGGGGTAAAGAGGTTTCTTCAGAGTCGGCAATGCGCCCGTAATACCTCTGGTATTGCAGGCGTTCATAGGCTACGGTAACCGCTTACCATCAGGTGGACCGTATGCTTGTTTGTCACCTTAGTGGTAAAAAAAAAGATCATCTATATAACACATCCTACAATATATTTGTACATAGGATACTCTTTAATATATTGGTAAAGTTGCAGGATATACCTAGTTATCAATTTAAAAGTGGCAGGCTTACTCTGTGATTAACAGGTCTTATCTTGAAGTCACTGCATAATTTAATCACGTTTCTTTTAGCTGCCGTAAATAGTATCTTTTCGGCTATAGGTATCTTGCTGTTGTACAGCAGCCACTGTGGAGATTGAGGTGTCCATCTAAAATATTCAATAGTAGGGAAGTTAATATTAATTTATATATACATACTCGTAGTAAGTAGCAGATGGAAATTGTATCTCAGTAATAGATGGAAAGATTTTTAATTTTCATTTTTCCATAAGATTTTTATATTTTCTTTCAAACTAACCCTATCCTAACAATCATAAATACAACAAAATTATTATACAGGTGCGAATTGAATCCACTCACCGAGGGTTCCGTACATAGATATAAGATAAAATTACCTTTATTACATTACTTATACAAAATAGACACCTAATATTCAATATTACTGGTACTATAATTAGTAATAAATGAAATTTCTTATTTAGAACCATACTTTTGGTATAAAATTGGACCATAAAATTTAGATCGTTATTTTATTTTCTCTGTAATATTAATTCTAAACTGTATTTATTTTAAATTTTTTGTTTCACAAACTTTGGAAACATTATCATAATAAAATGTAACCTTTTTATATGATGCCTTTTTGTCTATCCTCATTGTATCCTCTAGAAAAAAAAATATAATATGTTTTGAATCATTTCCATTACTATATGTGTGGGTCAATAATATAGGTAAAAAAAATGTAAACCTATATTATTTTTAAAACTTACTATGTTTGTCGTTTCCGATAACTGTTTAAACTTTATCCGTAATTCATTGTATGAATAGAATAGAAATAATTTTATTCAAATAGATTTTGTTCACAAATTCTTTTAAATCTACATTTTTTATGATTATACTACTAGGTTTGAAATGTTATTATCTGCTTAGAAGTCATTCCGCGAAGAGGCTGCGTATCGATTTTTGACTAACACTTACATATATTCGGTAATTGATTTTTATTTACCTATATAGATTAAGATTCTGGAAATAGCTCTTGAATACCAATATGCAATAACAATAAATATATTTTCCCATGTATGAAAATAGGTAAATATTATCTTAGTATGAAAAACAAAAAGGCTCCAAATATAAAGGAAATCAAACTATACGTTTCCATATTTGGTAAATTGTTAGTTATTGGTACAGCACATATCATGGCAAGTAAACGTGGTGACATCACGATCGTATTTAGACTGGTTCGCCAGTGGTTACTTTTGAGATTTCACATACTGTAAATCATGAAAGATTGTTATATGCTTAGTCTTATTGACCTAAGTCTTTTCATTTCGAAATGCTCTAATTTTTATTTATATTATATTATTATTATTTACTTTAGATAGAATATATAACTAACAATGGAGGTATCATTATTGACAAGTACTTCTCCCGACTAACTAGGTTCCGGCATAGAATAGGCCACCCGTTCCTTTTCCATTATATTTATATATTCCTTTTATATCTTTGTCCTCAACTAACTTAAGCTAGTGTAGTACAATTGTCAGGTAGAAATATTTCCTACATTATTTAGTAGTATACGAGTCTCCGACTTATTTAACTTGCTGCTGGCTTTTGCGCGCTTCCTCGTACGCATGGATTTTAGAAGTAGTAAAACCAATGAAATAGACCATTTCTAGATGGCATATCAAGATTAAATATATATCACATTTTCAGTTAGATCTTCAGAAATACAGCAGTGATAACCGCATCCAATTTGATGCAGTCATTTTTGCGTGATGCTGAATCAAACAGACAGACAGATAAAATTTATAAAAAATGTTGTTTTGGTATCTATTGGTTTTATAAAGACCTCTCATGTTAGTTGTTCTTAAATATGCCCCATGTACAGACATCGTTTAGTTACAGTTTCATTATAATAGTAATATGGATAAATAAAATAATTGATGATATAAAAAATTTCGTTATTGATATGATAAGTAAGACTGTTAGTTTGCGTTATGGACTTATGCATAAAAAGGCCCAATTATAAAAATCTTAAGTAAACAGTTAATTTAAAACAATGCTAACATTTAATTTTATAAGTGTCTATGTGTTTATAGGTAGAGTCTTTTAAAAATATGACGATATAAAAGTGCTTCTCAAGAAGTCTACTTAAATATTTTTGAATGTGACTGTACTTGTATATACAGATATATTGTTTACCCTTAAAAATACGCATAAATACACCTACAAATATTTATGAACAATGGTTTCGATATTAGGAATTCAATTCGCTTTAATTTCTTTGTAGTCTTCTAATTATTCATTCTCGCATAATTTATAATTCTAGATAGGGTACGCGTCAATGACATCGTGCTGTGATTATGTATTACCGTTATGCATACAGCGTAGATAGAGATAAATGACGCAGTATCTATTTATGTGTAACTACTACTATTTTATACACACTTTAAGTTTCTTAATTTGTCTATATTTTTGTATTTTTATATTTTAAATATAACTTAACAATCAACGAACCGATTTTGATAATTCTGCAATCGACAGTATCTCGTATTGATATCATAATAACGATGCTATGATTAAAGTTTGGTTTTATTAACATAAAAACAGTATTCTTATTATATTCACTTACAAAGATATTAATGTAGCGTGAACTTACTCAATACAAGCTCCATGTATGGTGTGGTGCTTCCAAATAAGGATTTTAAAAATACCAAGAGTCTAAACCAGCCTTCTGAACTACAAAATGTAATCTACTACTCCCATGAATATTTGTGTAATTACATCTACCAATAAAGCAGTCCTCTTTCCAAAACTAAAATGTAGATATGTAATTATTTTCTTTTTAATATTAAAAAAGAAATTTATTCAAATGTTTACTTTAAATAAAGCCATATCTGTTCATTATTTTTTTAATATTGTAAATGTTAAAATGATTTCATTTATTTACACACTGTACCGGCTCTACCAATTATGGTGAAATTTGGAAAACACGTATTATTTTTAGTGAGATATAGGCTACTTATTATCCTGGTCATGTTAATATAGTCGCAAGTATATTTATTTCTAAATGTCATTTACTAATATTCTAAAATGTTGTAAAATCCCACCTGTCGGCAAATAATCCAAAAATTATGCATCCGCACATGGAACCCACACGATAAATAATTGCTGTAGATAGCATTTTCAGTTTTCATCGCAAAAAATTAACCACTGCATATAGAAATTTTTAAATTAAAATAATTAATGGAAGTCAAGGACGTTATTGGCTAAAAATATTTTAATGTATTCATACCGAATTTTTTATCCAAATTAACCACAGCAATTTAACGTGCCACTTGTCACATTTATATTTCTCAGTGATATTACTTATCAAATAAACAGTACATAAGCATAGGCATTGTTACTTCATACCTCGCTGATGGAATGCAATTCAGCTGATCTGCCGGTCGAATTAGGAACATGTCTTCGTATTGGTTAAAAATAGAAGGAATCATGAGTATGGTATAAACTAATACCACTATCCATTTCCAAACACCAATTTTACCCAAAACGTCAGTAGTTACGTCTTCATATACTGTTCCGATTCTGCAAAATAAAAATTATATTCAAATTATCAAACATGTTAACCGGTTTAATGCAATTAAACAATGGATACCGTACATAGACATTGCTCTCTAGATATATATTATATTGTAAATAGAGGATCATTAGCCTTTGACATATAATGACTGTATAGATTTATTCGCAAATATGCGGTTTTATAAATAAATAATAATATCAAGCATCGGTGTCAACAGTGTCAAAATAATGTTGTTTATTAACTGTTATAAGTTTACACTTTTCGCTACAATTCACTACCACATTTAGTCATTTTGAAATAGAATTTTGTGCTTGAAGCGAAAAAAAATTGTTAACTTTTTATTAATAATACTATATTTAGGCGTCAGAGGCACGTGAAGCTGTAATCTACGAGTACTTACATAATATGTGGTTATTTCCTATGGACCGTTTATTGTAATTCTATAATTTTATTCTAAATCAAGAATCATAGAAGAAGTTAGTCATGAAATATGAATGTAAGTGTTGTAGTATCCAGTGCAATTAAAATAGATAAATAACGTAATATATACAACCTTGATTTAAATGTGAGAAATGCCATTGTTTCCTTTCCCGGTTCCAATTATTGTGTTCTTTGGAAGTGAAATAATAGTTTTTCTTGAAATTCTTCTTTTAATATTAAAGAAAATCCAATTCAAATTGTAATCCAAATTTGATTCCTAATATGATGTATGTTAATATAGTAGATAGAATCTAGAATAATTATTTTATTAATAAAAAGACTCTCTAATTAATAATAGGTAAACAGCTATCAATCAGACATTTTAAGGTCCCATAATTAAAAATTGCTAAAATATTTTTTTTCATGCAACTTAGAATGGCAAACAAGCTGACGGCCCATCTGATAGAAAGTGATATTCGTCGCCAATAGACATGAGCAGTACCAAGGACATAACAGAGTATACTATTTCGCCCATGATACTCTCTATGCGTTGCCATTCCTGAGGATCAGGGGTTATTCCCCTGTAAATTCACTGACATATCCCACACTTTAAATCGAAAATCAGCCATGAAAACACAACTGCTTCACGGTTAACACACGAATGAGACAGAGGTGCCCAAGCAAATAACTTTTGTACAAAGTCTCTCTCTGGTAAACAACCCTTCCAATATTGCCATATCATATTGCTCATCACTTTCTGTCTGAACGAGGTATGCCCGAATTTTACTACCTTCAGATATTAAGGATATGCACTTCATTATATTCAATGCCGTTAGTTTCATTAGAGTATACATACTTAGTTATAATAATTAAGATATACTCTTAGATTATATAGATGTACTGTATAGGCAGGGTATATTTGGAGTATACGCTTCCTATAGTAATAAAACTCATCAATCAAAATGACTATTTTTATGTTAAGTTGTTTATGGTAACATAGAGAACCGATTGTTAAAAATGTACTTACCATCTGAAATAACAATTTTTGTTGACTCAAAATTATCTGATATAATAATATGCAATTTTATAGATTCCAAACTGTAAATTTTACTCATAAACATATCGAAATTTATGTTTCAACCTACAGTCACCTGTGGTAAATAGGTTTAAGAACTATTTAAATTAGTTCGATGAGTTCATTCTATCGTTGTGACGTATGCGCCTATGTAATGTAAATGCGAAAATGTTAATAACTCAGAAGTTTTAGTTACCTATCATAAAATATTTACGTGCTTGCCTTGTATTTACCTCTTAGCCAGAGATTTTATTAGGAGGTTGTTTCCTTGACTACTTCGGTATAATCGGATTGTAATTACGTGGATTGTTTTTCAACGCCAATCTAAGTTAGGTAAGTGACTACTTACAGTAAAATAATTGACGCAATTACAGTTTGTTTTGGTTAATATATGAAATTAATTAATGTAAAGTTAAATATAACTCTTAATCAAATTTGAAGACGTAACTAATACCTTCAGAATAATAGAATTTTGAACATTCTTGTAATGTAGATTCGAAAACAAAAAATATGTAGTAGACATATTAATAATAATAGAAACTATAATAGCGGAGAAGATTTAGATATGTAGATGGAATTGGATACAGAGATAGACTTGAAATCAATTATGTATATTAGATACAGGTAGGACATCTGCAATGTCTCGAAAATAACGTAAAACTAATATTTAAATCTAAATATTTTATACTGCAAATACATTTTAAAACTGAAGTAGGATATAAATTTATCCGTGTTTGTAACAATTGTTACAATTAGTACTATTTTGATTGTTTATCAAAAGTAATTTACAAGAAAATCTGACAGTGTTGATAGTAATTTAATATTATTGAAATAATAAATAATAATAAATAATATTGGCAATATTTCCTAACAAATAAATATGAAAGTCGTTTGTTACATTTTGATGATTTAACTGATGATGAGAAACCATACACTTAATATTTGGGATGAAGATGAACATGTGCTACTTTTTATCTCGCCAATCAACATATCCCGCTCACATGTAAAAACTTGTAATGATAATAAAGCATGTTATTTAATAAATATTGCTATTAGGGAGAATGATACTAGCAATAAGTACGTGAGTTTGATTTACAAATTAATGTCAAGTTTATTTACTATTCATGTATATTTAAATCACTAGGTGTTGGTGTTATTAATTACTATAGTTAAAACTGAGATAAGTTCAGTAATTAACCTATAAATGTTATAAATATGAAAGGCGGTAAAGATGTTTGTTTCTCAGTCACTCTCGAGCGGCTGAACGAATTGAAATGAAATTTGGTACACGGGTAGGCTATATATCCACGTTTTTGACGTGAAAATATAGCATAGTTGGCAACAAAGAAACAGGTATGTAGATACTATTTACCTACAAAGTTTTTTTAACGTGTTAAGTCCCGATGGTGTATTTAGAATATGTGTAAATAACGCGAAAGTTTAATATTAACTATCGTAAGTTATATAGTAATAATATTAAGTTAGGAGCTTAACACATAGGGAGACTTTGTATAAAAGTCGGTGCTTGGGTCCCTCTGTCCCTTTCGTGTTTCAACCGTGAAGCAATTGTGTTTGCATGGCTGTGTTTCGGTTTGAAGGGTTTTTATTAATGGGTGATAATGGTAACCCCACCTGCGCCATTGGTATACACCGGCGGGGCACCAGTGAATGATGATAGGCGAGGATGAAGCAGATCGATTAGCCCACCGTGACGAATTCAACAAGAATTGTTCACTATGGTTTCCAAGAGTAACCACGTGGAGGTCGACCTAATAGGGCATATTGCTAGCAATAGAGTTGTCAAACTCCAATCCTAACAATCAATAAATGTGGGATATGGCAGTAAATTTATAGGGCACAAAGGAATAACACCTGAGTACTCAGAAATGGCAACGCACGGGGGGGGGGGGTATCATGGGCGAAACAGTATACTCTATTATGTACATGGTACTGCTCATGTCTATAGACAACGGTTACCGTTTTCCATCAGGTTAGCCGTCAGCTTGTTCGCCATTGTAAGTTGTATAAAAAAACATATTACACATTGTATACTGATTCGTGCGGGCAGAGCCGGGATAAATGAGAAGTATGAGTAGATGGCATATATAAATGAGAAATAATTAAAAATTTTAGCGAAAAAGATTATTTAACCATAGATAGGTTAAGTAAAACTTATGTAAAATAACATAATTCTAATGTACTCGTAAATTAATATGGTAACATTGTCTTTCCAGTAGTTTACATAGCTGTGTTTTGTAGTGATATTACCAGATATGGATACATGATACCGTGATTCTTAGGAATGTCATGATGAGACCTCTTCTTATCATCATTGGGATATAACATGTCTGTGTCACCCATAATGTAGTTCACATCTATAAGCGAAGGTTTGCCATTAGATAAGCCGTTTATTAATATAAGTATTAGCTACTTTTATAAGAATAAATAGGTGTTACATTCGAAAAAGGATGCTCATGTCTGTTTACAAATAAATTATCATGTAGAAATGTGCCATGTGATACAGTACATCTCAACCACAGCTGTTCACGTTGTGTTGGTTGGGGCGAGTCGTGGTGTAGTCAGTGGCGTGCGGCCGACGATCAGCCAGGTCGTCAGGTATGGGCCAATGAAGATAAGGTTGTATTTTTTTTTCGCGATTACGGTAACTGAGCGCAGTGTCGGCGCCACGACGATAGTCCATTCGTACGTCCGCCGGCAGCCCGGCTCGCACGTCTGTCGCAGTTGGCTCGATACACGCTGCCGCGTTATCACTACTCTACCATCAATGGTGTTTGTGGATATCATTACAGAACTTCGGCAACAGAACCAGTATTGGGCGAAACATCACTGCCAGAATGGACAAAGATCACGCTTTAGAGGAAATGATGGGGAAGCTGGGTGAGTAAATAATTAATTTTAATCATCAACATATGGAACTTCCGATTTGAACATTACACGCCGGCTGCGTACTTTTACATTTTACACATGTTCATGATCATTGTATTGTAAAGGTGAACACGACAACTTTATTGGTCTGATTTAAGTTGCAACTGGTCCGGCTTGTCTGGCATACGTTTCTACATGGAGGTTGCACTCATGTGGGCAATAAGAAACAATCTTTTACTGCCAACATACTTTCTAATATAATGGAAAGCGGACAGTATTATTTTATTTGCGAAATATTTTTGTCTCTATTACAAGTTCTGCTAAACTTACATATTGTTATTTGTAAATTGTTATTATTTTATTATGTAATAAAATATTACAATATGCATTTACAAAAACTGTTAGAAAAAAATATTAGACCCAGGAAATTAGAGTGTTTGTAATTATTAGATGTTACTCGTATATTATATTGACATCAATGACTTAGATGTTATAAAGCAATATATTAACAGACTACTAGAACAGGTTTAATTTAATATTGATAACCCAAACGGCCTTAACCCAAAACAAGGGGAGCATTAACCTATAACTGTGCTGAAACCCAACCAAATGACGTAATACCAGCTTAAAATTTGTTTACCTACTCATTCTTTCCTTTAACAAGATATGTGAGACAATTAACCCCAAGTTACTTAGGATCTACTTACAGACCGGGGTAATATTACAGTAGATATTAATTAGTTCGATATGGGTGAAATTATTAGGATATTTTATTACCATTACACCAAATTACAAAAAAAAATATTAAAAGTATATTATTTATTAGATGAAAAAAGAAATACAAAGGAAGAAAAAGATGCTGTTTTAATAAGAGAATTTAGCGTTGTATCATTTTTATCTATCTCATATCATGTCAATCATATGAGTGATTAATATCATTATAATTCTATAATTTTCATATGAACGCAGGACTCTATCATAATTTCGTCACAAAGTACGATCACGTGCTCTTCGCGCTCATATGTATATACTAATTCGTACATTCATCGATTCCTTGCAAACTTTTGAGACCGTCACTTAATTTCGTGGCTTGTTGCTTATATACATATTCAATTTTTTTTTATAATACATATACTTAATATACAATATATTAAAAATGACCAGATGAAACAGTCATAGTCATGAATATAAATAATAATATATTGTACGGGGTTCTGAGCTCATAATGGCAACCATCAGAATATGAGACCCTGTTGAATCGTTACACGATAGTAGTTGGTGATATTCAAGTCCAACAAATCTTATATCTAGACATTAGTAAAGAGAACATCTTCCATTTTTAAAACCTTTTTAAAATGTTAAATTAGCGGAAGATTAATATGAAAGTGCAACTGATGATGATGAGCTGTTGAACAGATTACAAAATTTATACATACGTTTTATTTTTGATTGCCGCTTATTGAATAAAGTTGAAATGGTTTCCAATTTGAAAATGTCGACATTTTCATATAATGTCGTTTTTATATTTCATCTTTGAAGAAAGGTTATAACCTTTCTTCGCCGTCCTATCTTCATGAACGATTTGATTTTCTTGTCTCCCATGGTGTATTTTCTCGTTCGACGAAGTCTTATCCTTTAAACCCTTTCTCACTCGACTACGCGCTATAGTGGATTCCTTACCGTCCATGCTGCTAAATTTTGGAATTCTCTTCCTATGCCTATCCGTGAGAGTCAATCCCTAAATATTGTTAAAAGTTGACTTAAAGCGCATCTTCTATCTTTATAAATTATCATCAATGACTTCAGAACTGGTGAAGATATTGAATAAGATATACAAAAAATATAGTACAAAAGATGTTTTAGTTCAATCACAGAATATTTTTTTTAATTTTGTGTCATATATGTATTTATTTATATCATATATGTTGACAGGATTTCTATTGATAACATATTAGTGATAACGTCCCAAATATGTCAAAGGTTATTATAAAATGTGTAAATAACATTTTAAGATATTTAAGTTAAATAAAAATATTCTTGTTTTTATTATTTATTCCAAAGTACCTGCCGTTAATATTCAATTGTTAGTGTTATTGAGAAATACGACCTGCCATTTTCCGGATACCTTGGGTGTATCCTAATATGGACGATTTTATTATACTTATATATGCTAACAAAATTTATTGAAGGTGAGCGAACCCAGAAAATTTCCGTTTGAAATCGTGATAACTATTCCTGGCTGCTATTTATACCTAACTCATCTTAATATGACGTGAACGCGATTTATCTACTGCATAATAAGCAATTAAATATATTATGGGTAGGTATTATATAATTTCTATAAACTGCTGTCTTCATTTGAAGAAATATTTCTCACACTTTTTTTTTTTAAATAAGAACTTACGTACGTACGGATTATATATTGATAATACAATGTGTGATAATACTTAATAATTGCTTAATAGATAACAATTGCAGATTACTTAATTGATTACGATTATTAACTCGTATCTCCAATGTGATATTGCATTTGTAGTTTGATTTAACTCAACATTTTGCTTTACTGAAGTCACTGAAATACGGAAAATATATTGAAATTAAGGAGAATTGCTTTTATTGTAGCTATCTAAACTGTTTCATACTTTACAAAGTAATCAAATGTAAAATAGATTCAAGAACTGTGGGTTGGATCTCTACATTTCAAACTAGAAAATATAGTAACCTATTTTATTCTTTTTTCACTTAATAACAGAGTCAGCAGACAATATGTCACCATTCCTTTTTCTTAAGTTAGTAGTTAGCTAAATTTTTCTCTTATGTAGAGAAACTTGTCCTCTGTCAGTGGTTAAAGTGTCTATTAACATTTGAGAAAAAAAAACAAGTGCTTACAATACATGGTTTGGGTTGATCAGTATCCATATTAGAGAGAAAGGAACTGTTAGTAATGGGGTTTAATAGCTAACAATATGCCCTATCAGATCGATTTCTCCATGATACCCCTTTAAAACTATTGTAGTTAAATCCTAGGGCACTTGGTTACGATGGGTTAAATGACCTGATTTCATCCTCACCTATCATCTCTCACTGGTAACCCTCCCCTCAGCGTATATCAATAGCGCAGTACGGTTACCATGCTATTTTTATCCCATCAAAAAAGACACTTATGTTATATTAAATATACGAATATATGTAAACTACTGGGTTGTTGTCTACAACTGTTTATAAATAAAATCATTGCAATCGTCTGATGTGAAGTAGTCATATAAGATTTCAGATCACAGGATTACTTGATTGATTGATTAGAAACAAGCAGAAAAAATATAAATATTATTAAAACCGTGTATTCATCTATCTCTGAACTAATTTATAATTTACACATATTTTTTAACTTACTTGATCATCGAAATTAGTATAGACTTAACACCAAAGTATTCTAGATATATTGAAAAGAAAAAGTGAAGCTATCGCATAACATGTACAAAAACTACAGTACAACTACAATTTAAGAACCTATCCTTTTTTAAATTTGATTGTAAAGGGTTTTGTGGTAGAACATTGCCAACCAGTCGGTTAAATCGATGCACGGGCATAAATTATAAATTGTATAGAGTAGTTGTTTACAGTAAAGTTACGAGTAGGTACATATGTATGCTCATAACAATTATCGAAACTACATGAACGATTGCGTCAAATCTTCAAGTTTAAGTAAACTAGATCTACGACACCCTGTTTAGTAATAATAAGCAAGTGAAAAATGTAAAACTGACATTGATAGCGTACCTATTATGTAGTCTATCATTGCATTTGTAAATGGCGAAAGTACAAGTTTAATTACAAGCTGACAATTACAATGAACTATTTATCATTTCCCGATAACAATAGAATACAACATGGCTTATGCAGAAATTGCAGGATCAAAATAATATATCAACCAAAAAGGTAAATTTATCAATTAGAGTATAGTATACCTACGTTCAAAAGAGATATGGAGTCCATATGGAATATATAATAATATTTCCTCGTTTTTTTGGAAACTTTGTTTACATATGTGTATTGTTGCTGGCAATTTGGTCAGTTGGCATTTTTTATATACAAACTTGTATTTTGATATATTTTTTTTCATATTCTTTTTAATATATGTTTTCTGACACCTTTTATTTGTTAGTTCAGATATACAGTTTACGTAATATGAATTGGTTTTATTGTTCTTCCAGTTACACATGTTATATAATAAAAGGTTATATAAAATAGCTAGTTGAATACTTTAACAGCTATAGTAGGCACTTAGTACTTAAACTTTTCCATTCAATTTAATCTTGGCTATACTTAGAATTATAATGTCATTCATCTTTAAATTATGCATGCACACAATACTATAGGCATTTGCACTTGTATTGTGACAATTAAATATTATATTGAATTGCCATATTTTATACCATTTAATAAATACTGAAATCTACATTATTATAGATATATTGTACATACGTAGGTCACTAGATAAGTTCTGCAATACAGCAATATTATTAATTGTGTGTAGATGAGAATAGTTTTATTAGAAAGTGACTCTTATTATAGGACGAGACATACATAATTTTTCAGTAGTCACTCGTTAGCAACTGCACAAAAAAATATTGATTTTATTAAAATGAATGAGTGGTCAAAGGACGAATTGCTCGTTATTATGCGGTACAACCTCGCACGCGATCTCTCAATTCATATGTTTGTGGAAAAAATGAGTTCTGTGCTCAAAGAGAACTGCCCTCATCGTATAACGATTTATCGGTGGTATCGAGAATTTAATCGTGGTAATTTTGCTGTTGAAGATGCGCCAAGGTTAGGACGTCCTACGGAGGTTTGCACTAAAGAAAATATGGAAAAAGTTGAAAAATTGATAAGAGAAGATCGTCGAATAACTTATAAGCAGATAGAAGAGATCCTGCAAATTATTACAACAAGCTTTCATAAAATTCTGTACGATATTATTGCAATGAAAAAAATTTTTACGCTTTAGG